CGCAAAAGTAGAGTTTATAGGTATATCTATTTTACCTTTTAAAAATAGTTCTAGTATTCGTTTAGAAAATACTATTTTTGTACCGTCTATGAGACGGAAACTAGTTTCGGTTTTCCTTTTGGACAAAGCTGGTTATTCATTTCAACAAAATAATAGTATTATTAAAATTTCCTATGATTCACATGTTGTTGTTGATGCTTTTTTAAGTGATGGTCTATATCGCTTGAATATATCGAATGAAACTTTTTATGCAATGCATGTTGAAAATATTGCCCACAAAAGGTCTACTATGAGTAAAACGTCTTACCTATTATGGCATAGGCGTCTTGGTCACATTTCTAAAGAAAGAATTGAACGATTGGTAAAGAAAAATATTTTACCTGTTCTTGACCAAAAGATTTTGAAACTTGTGTGGATTGTGTTAAGGGTAGAATGACCAAGGTTAAGAGAAAGGGTTCCACTAGGAGCTCTGAACTCTTAGAAATAATTCATACTGATATTAGTGGACCTTATGTACCTACTTTGACCAATCATAAGTATTATTACTTTTATTGATGACGTTTTAAGATACTGTTATATATTAAAAGAAAAATCTGAAGCACTTGATAAGTTTAAAATTTACAAGACTGAAGTTGAAAAACAGCTTGGGAAGTCCATTAAGATAGTGAGGTCTGACCGTGATGGTAAGTACTATGGAAAATATGATGAGTCTGGTCAATGTATGGGGCCTTTTGCTTTATTTTTGCAAGAATGTGGAATAGTAGCACAATATACCATGCCAGGTACTCCTGAGCAGAATGGTGTGGCTGAAAGACGAAATCGTACTCTCATGGAAATGGTGAGAAGTATGATGTCAAGGACTAGCCTACCTGAGTCTCTTTGGGGTGAAACCTTAAAAACAGCTAGCTATATCCTGAATAGAGTTCCTACAAAATATGTCTTGAAAACTCCCTTTGAACTATGGACAACCCGAAAACCTAGCTTGAACCATTTTCATATTTGGGGATGTCCAGCTGAAGTCCGTATTTATTCACCCACAAAAAAGAAAACTGATCCTAAAACTACCAGTTGCTTCTTTATAGGCTATCCTGATCACTCTAAAGGTTTTAGGTTTTTCTATCCTGAGCGTGGCACTAGAATCGTTGAGTCTATTAATGCAAAATTTCTGGAGCATGATGTTTGTGATTGTGATTGTTCATGTGGTAAGGAGATTGTATTGAAAGAGAAGGAAGTCATTGTCCTTGTACCTGTTGTACATGAAAAGGTAGTAAATCAACCTATTTGTGAGGGGGAGAATCAAGGGAACAACGACGCAGATCCCATAGTTCCTGAGCTAAATGTACACAATGAACCACTCCGCAGGTCACAAAGAGAATGATTTTAGTTTTAGGGGTCTTACAACATAAAGAATCGTCAAAACCTCCTCACCAGACTGAATTCGCCAGTTTCTTGGATCCCTTTCTGTAAAAGCAGTTACAACTAGGAGCTGGATTACTCCAAAGAAGCATGTAAATGAGGTAAGTGACAGTTTTGCGGGGTAATTTTTCATCATAGGAACCTGCATATTTTACCACGTCTCATGAGACGCTAATTGATGGTGTGTGTATATACATAGAGGTATTAATACTGATATAATTAAGTAGTAAACGAAAGTGGACCTTCTCTGACAGTTCAAGTTTTTGGATGAGCTGATCGCACCATTCAAGTAGAGTTATGTCTTACAAAAACTATGTGTTAACTGCTAATTCCTATCTACCTGAAGCACCATCCAACCAGCATATGATAAGCACTGAGCAATAAAGTAAACACAGCATTTTCTCTGGAGAAGTAAAAGTTACATCCGAAGAAAAGCCGCTTCCTCTTAGAAGGGGAGGGCCTTTGTAATAGAGTGATTGTTGTGGCACCTCCAACACTTGCTATGCTTCCCATAATTTTTGCCATGCCATCCTTCCTCTTAATATGCACTTCTTCTAACCTGAGGTACATATACAGGCATATACTTTACGTATACTGATGAATTAATGAGTATGAAATAGTAAAAAATGAACAAATACAACCATCTAATTAGGTAGTACGGTGTACGTGCTATTTCATAAACAGCTATGATCTTATACCTTAAAACAGAAGCCATGACAAAAGTAATTGCAGGAACTGAGTTTCGCATAGGTTGGTGATGTATAATACAACCCTAAGATATAAAGTGATTGGTTTGCTGTGACTCTGTGAAGCAGGAAACAAAACCTTGTCAGTAGAGTGAACTGAAACTCATAAAAACTAGTACTAGTACTTAATTTTTTTAATTATAATTTGGTCAGTAGAAGAGAAATTAAACTCTACTTGCTTACCCTATTAAACCAAGGAGGAAAAACTGAACCAATAGGGAAAATGTGAGGGGTGGTCTTTCCTTCCTGTATTAGCGAGAACACAAGATCTTCAAGTTATATCTCAAACAAATTAAAAAAGAAAAGAATAACAACACGTTTGTATTTGTGGCTGGAAATGATATATCATAACTCACTTTTCTAAAAAATAAGCAAAAGGTCCTAAAAGAAGTAAAGCAGTGATGTTTCTATAAACTACAAACACAAGTTTGCTGACACCAATATTGAGAGCAATTCTTGAGACAATATGAAATCCCGCAGAGCAGAAAACCATGACAAACAATGCTGCAACAAGCTTCAGTTTTCCAGGTGTAAATTCCATATCTTTGGTTCTTGTAATTATTTCCTCTAGCTTTACATCCTCAAGTACGGGAAGATCAACTAGCTTACCTTATTCATTATATACTGTACACACCATTGAAAGATGTCAGTTTCTGCAGAAAGAAAAATGCATACTCTCGGAACTCTAAGGTCCAAATCATTCCAAACCATTCTTAATTAACCAATGTACCTATAAAAGAATTTTCTTGGCAGATATCCATTCTTGGACGAGTGGAGGAGAAACTTTTGCTATTTCCCCGTTGGTCCTTGATCATTTTCTGTAAATATAGGAGTTTCTCCTCAGTTGAAAATGCACCAACAAAGAGAGTGAAAGCAGTAAGAAGTATCACATACAGAGATCAGGATTTAAAGTTTATGGGTTCCTACATATAATAATAACTGGGTTTACAATCAATTATTTATAGATAATTTAGTGAATTTTTTAATACATATACAAGATTTGTGCAAAAACTACTGGGTTTCCATGAACCCGTATTGGTCACAAACGATATTAAAAAATAGTTTATGAGAAAAAAAAGTGTGAGAGCGGTATTAAGTTTGCTGTATAAATTTTGAGAGAGGTATAAAGGGTGAAAAATCAAAAGTGGGTTCTTTATTTTGAGTGTAATAATCTCTTGACCATTTTGCTCTAGTGGATTATTTTGCTCCTCTCGGACCGTGATTTTTTCTTTATTCAAAAGGGTATTCCAAGTTAAAATCTTAGTGTTGTTATTACTCTTTTTTGTTTCTTTCTGGTGCTCGTTATTATTCTCAGTACATTCAGTAAATATTTATTTCTATCTGTTATCTTTTCCAACCATTGGTATTAGAGCACAATTTTTGCTCATTAACATAAATATTTTTCGAGGCCAGCGTACTATACTCGGTGAGAAAAAAATAACTGGAGCAAAGTACGAGGTAGCAAAACTTCAACGGTGAGAGCGATTTCTCGACAAGGCAAAGAAGGATGAGGGATCTGCTCATCAACGTTACACAAGGCACTAGAAGGCAATTTGCTCTACTTTCTTGGCATAATCCATTGCTTTAAAAGAGTATACAAAAGCTAGCAGATGTGCACCTATAGAACAAGGATGATCTATGTTGCGCGGACTCTCCAAAATGTAGCCGCACCCGTGTCGGATCCTTCAAAAATGCACTACTTTTGGAGGATCCGACACGTATCCGGCCACATTTTCGGAGAGTCCGAGCAACATAGAGGATGATTTACCTTTTCCATTCCCATGGGAAAGAGGGTGGGCATCTACTTCCTTTCTGATCTGTCTATCAGGTAAACACTTGTATTACTCCAACATAGCAATATCCAGATTGCTTAAACTATGAGACAAGTAAACAAGCTCCTCATCCAACTGCATCATGTAGATGGAACCATTTTGGGCAATTTGGTCTGAAGGATGCAACTGAACTGCACCACCAAGGATTGTGGCGGGATGGATAGGACCTCTCCACCCTTAACCAGAGGTCTCGGGTTCGAGTCCTGGAAATGAAAAAAATCGTATAGGGAGCACTGTCCCCTTTAATGGGCCTTACGTTGCGCGAATCCGGATTAAACAGTGCCTCAATGAGTGTACCCGACACCAGGTGGAAACAAAAAAAAAAGATGCAATTGAACTACAGCAAAATGGTTAAGAAATGATTCTATCCAAGTTAATGCATCTGATAAAATATCATAGACAAGAATAGCACATGACTAAAAGATGGCCATCTGATTGTTATTTTTCACTTTCAGTGTGTCATAGGATCATGGTAAGCAATGCAAGCTAAAGGAGAGGCAAAATCAAAAACTATAGAGTCAGTACAGGAATTGTTTGCACTTATCGAGGAGCAGATTCGAGGGACGAAATTTTTTGACAGGGAGCAGATAGGCTACCTGGATATAGTGATGGGTTGGAAATCTCTTTGGCTCAGTGCAATGGAGGAAGTAGGAGAGAAGAAGCTATCATTACCACTTTTCTCTCTCATGTTTTAAGGTAAATCGAGCTTTATTCTGATGGTTTTATATTGATGTTACTGTGACATGTATGTAAAGAGTCCCTCCCATCTGCCATATCAAGAGCAGATGATATGTGAACCAAGATGAAACCGAGGCCACCAACAATCTCGATAGTAAAAACATCATCTATAACACCTCTGAATCATTTGATTCTGCTACAGTTACAGTATTATATCTACAAGCCAAGAATATCTGCAAATAAGAAGCTAATTATGTACCCTTGTAATCTAGTTTCTAGAGACTTCTTCATCCTGAGAATAAGATCTACTAAACATAAATGGAAAACCTGAAACGGTGAACGAGACGAAGGCTTTCTATAAACATTGACAAATTTGTCTCCTAATTCCTTTACATATAGCTTATTACTTCACAATTTCATCGGTATAGTATTTCGATCCAATGTCATGTGCATTGAGAAAGTCAAACTATATATACATACAAAAGCTTTTAGGAATAGCCAACACGTCGACAACGGACCCAGAAAGCTGTCCCCCCACTCCGTCCTCGAGCAACAGCTATTTCCTCGTCTATGTAAAACCAGATAAAAAATGGATCCTTATCCTTATTGCTCGGCTCTCTTTCATCTTTTCCCTTAATACTGATATTAAAGGGATTCAATGGTCCAACTTTTATCCGAAGCTGCTCAAATACAAAAGCAAGAATCTTATTCTTCCATGAAAACCTCCCTTCAAATGTCAAGAATCCAAGAGGCCCCAAGAAAACACCATTTTCGATCCTTTTTGCCTAAAATTTTGTTCAAACATGTTATTCATCTTGTGATTGAAAGAAGAAAGCATCTATACTGTATACTCAGTAGTGAAATTGGAATTCTTCATCTAAACAACTAAATGAAACAGAGATTTAAAGAGAAAATGAAGGTTGCTTATATAGCACCAATAAATATTATGAATAGCAAGGGGTATGCAATTGTTCTCCTTTATCTTCTTTGTTTTCCCTTCTCTTTTGTCTTTTAAGTTATTGAGCAGGGAAGTGTTCTTTATCATTTTCTTTTGTAGAAGATCCCGAGTATATGAATTGTACACCGGATATACAAATCAGAAATGGGGAAAATTGGTTAACGAAATAGGTCTATTTCATCTCATCTAGGAGTTTACATGATTAGAAACAAAAGGATCTGTTACTGAAGTTGATCGCTCGAAACCCCCCCCCCCCCCCCCCC